ACTAAAGTTCAGTGGCATCATAGCTCACAGCAACTTCAAACTCCTGGACTCAAGCAATCCTCCTGGCAGCCTCCCAAGCAGCTGATACTACAACAAACCATCATGCCCATCTAATTTTTCTATTTTTTTTTTTTTTAGAGACAGGGTCTATGTTGCCCAGGCTGATCTCATACTCCTGGCCTCAAGCAATCCTCCCCTTGATCCTCCCACTTTAACCTCCCAAAGTGCTAGGATTACCAGCATGAGCTACCATGTCCAGCCTACAAACATTCTAAATTTTACCTGGAAGAACAAAGAGCCAAAGAGTCACACAATGCTTTTTAAGAGTGAAAGACTTTCTCCCAAATAACAATAAGTTACAAAGTTATTAGTACAGGATAGATAAATAAACTGAGATAAAATAAGTCCAGAAACAAACACATGCCTACATGTAAATTTGATGAAATGACACTGAAAATCAATGCAAATGATGTATTATTTAGTAAGTAGTGTTGGGATAACTAGTTTTTCAAATAGAAAAATCAATTAAATCCCTGCCTCACACCATACCTATAAAAGAAATCTGAGGGGGGATTCCGGAATTAACCGGGAAAAAAGGCCCCTTAAACTTTTTGGTTAGTTTTTTGGATTTTGTTTTTGATTTTCTTTTGGAGGATTTTTTTAGGTTTTAACTTGAATTCTTAAGGAAAGGAGGTTTATTAAAGTTGCTTTTTAAATTTTAAAGCTTTTGCAATCAAAATATATCATTAAAATAAAAAGATAGTGCAGATTGCAAAAAGATATTAACAATTTATACAACTGACAGAGCACCAATATCCACAGTATATGGAGAACTTTCCAAACAAATGAGAAAAATTCAAGAAAACTAAAAGAAAAATGATCACAGACTGTAAACAAATTATTCACAGAGGATGAAATGGTTGATAAACATGTGAAAAGATGCTCAACATTATTAGAAATTAGAAAAAATGCAAATTTAAACCACAAGGAGATACCATTTTATGTCTATCATTCTGGAAACATTTTCGAAGTTTGACAGTACCAAATGTTAGTGAAGATGTGAAGCTATGGAAATTCTTATCTTGGTTAGAGATTTGTATCTTGGCTGGATCATGCCTAATGATCCAGCAATTCCAATCCAGGATATAGAACTGAGAGAAATTTTAGCATGTGTGCACGAGTCACATATGTAAGACTGTCTAAAGCTGCAGTGTTTATCATTGTAGAAGACTGGAAGTGACCTAAGTGTCTACTAACAGACACTTAGTAGAGTGGATATATAAATTTGGGATTACTCATCCAAAAGAATATTGCACAATAGTGGGAATGAATAGATAAGAGCTACACATGTCAACACAGATAAATCTCAAAAACATGATATTCATGGAAAAAAGCAAGTTTTGGAGAAATACAAAAAATGTAATAACTCATGTAGAGATTAAGATATACAAAACAATGCAAAATATTATTTAGAAAAAGCATATTGTTATACTCAAAGTATAAAATCTGGAAATCACCTGATAAAGAGAAAGAGAATTATGATGGGGAAGGGTACATAGTGGTCTTCAACTCTACCTGTCATGTTTCTTTTTCTTTTTTAAAGTTGAGTGATAGGTTCAGGGGTGTTGGGGTTTTTTTAAATTATTTTTATATTTTTATGTAGGACTGAAACATTTCACTAAAAAATGTTGTTATAAAAGTGAGTGAATTGAACAATATTAACCTCCTTCAAAATGGTAGCTTTATTCTTCTTTGTCATTTGTGTTTGATAGTCTTCCAGAGTAATTTAATATTTAAATATTAATTAAAAATATTTAAATATTAATTAAAATATTAAATATATTAGTAATATTTCTTTTTAGATTTATCTAATTAGTAAAGTAGCAAACATTTGGAAACACATTGCAATACCAAGAAAAAGAGAAAAAAAGGCTGGGTTAAACAGTTTTCTCTCTCTCAAATATTAGTAAGTCAAAGGAAATTGTGATTTTATTTCATTCAGCATATTAAGTTATGTTAAATATATATATTTCATACATAAAAGAATATGTGCTTCAGGCAATGATGGAAATGGAATTCACTTCAAACTCCTGCAATATCAGTGCTTTTAAAGGTCTTACATGAACTTTTCAAACATTTGAATTTTTAGACTGGATTTCATCCTCCACAACCCAACAATCATAAACACATGCATTCCCATGTACATCAGAGTTAATCCACAAGATAGGTTCATTGAGTAAATTATTAGGGAGAGGCTGACAGTACAGTGGAAATTGGCAAGGATTTAGAATCCTGGAGTGCTGAGTTCAAGGCCAGTCCCACCATTCCCTGAGGGTCTGATCCCAGGCAAATAATTTGACCTCTGTGAGTCTGTTTCCCGGTCTCCAAAATGTGGGTAATGATAGTATCATCCTCACTGAATTACACTGAGGATTAAATGAGGATACACAGGGAAAGTGCATTGTAAATCGTAAAGTCATTTTGCCAAAAATAGTAATTCATTTCTGTACCAGTGGAACGCAAAATGTGCTTACCACAGGAAACCTGCCTTAAGGGAATATTTGCTCTAGTGGAGGAGGCAAAATTAACACCGAAAACAATAGCAAGCGGTTAAAAAAAGAAACCCACACAAAGAAATGCAAGTTGAGTTATGCAGCTGAGACTATCAGGACTGTAGGAGGCAATCAGTGAGAGCAGGGGACCGGGTGATGAATGACTTTCACTGGCCTTGAGGCATGGCATTTAGATCAGTGGAGGGTGTGGAGAGGGTGTTCTAGCTCAGGGAAAGAGAAACACAGTCTATTTGCAAAATAGCAATGATGGGCTTAATTTATCCAACCTGGTTAGGATCTTTTTACCGTCTTTCCAGCCATGGTTCTTATTAAGTGTGGAAGGCTTTCTTGGCCCTGTAGGTTAACCTAACTTTAAACTTATGTGAAAAAAGGGCTTGGGAAACAGTGAGCACTGACACTTACAGTGTGACAACCATGTTTCACTAGTTAGCATCTAAGTGCACAGATCTGGTCCTTAGCAGCCAGCTACTTTATTAGGTTCACAGCATCTTGTCATACATCCTTGTCCACTGCTATTTGATCACCAGGAAGTATCACTGTGTGAAATCTCATCCTTGCTTTGTAAACATCCCTGGAATCTAAATTTACTATTTCTAAATCTAATCCATTAATGGACCAACAATGGTGTTATCATATTCTTCTTGAACAAGCGTGGCTTCCTAAACCTTAAGACAAGCATCTCAACTTAGATTTCCATCTACTTGGTTTGCCTTTTTAAAACAATTCTCTTTAATTCTTTGTTTTAATCTACACAAAATATTAGATTGAAATAACGACTTCTGCCTGATTTTATAGGCAATCTGCGGTCCCTGCTGGATCCTGTTCAGGAGTAATATGTACCAAGAATCCATAACACACAATGCTGTGTTGCTAAAGAATTCTGAGACTTCAATAACATGAAATATGTTATGCTGCAATCTTAGTTTATAATGAAATGTCCTGTCATCGCACCCTGGCATTCAGCGGTGATGTGGTATTTGTTTCTACATAAGCAGTCATTGCTTTTTTGAGGAGAGGACAATATTGAAATTTAAGATAACTGATGCTTAAATAAAGTCAATCCTATTGATAGGTTTAGAAACAAAAGAGCCTCACATTTATACTACTGCCTTCTTTTTGTTATGGAAGGGGTGGTGGGAGAAGCCAGTGTGCCTGAAGAAGGAATTGTTTTTTGTGGAGACAAGCCTAGTATTTCAGGGAAATAAGAAAGTAATAACAGATGTAGAGTCAAGGTGAGAAATGGCGCACACTTCTCCCTCCTTCCTGCTCCCCATTTCAAGTTACATTCCATCTGGAATACTTTAGCCCATTCCCTAACATTTCAGTTACTAGAAATAAAACTGGAAATTTTGGCCTGCTTGCCCTCTGGTTGGGACACTAAGAAGTAAGCCTTGCTTGGTAAGTCCCCGTGATTTACTTATATAGAAAAGTTAATTATAATTCAAGCACTTGATAGTGCATGATGGGTCCAAATATGTCACCCAGTCCAACTTTCTACTTAACACATTGACTGCCATGTGAGTTGGATTTCACTCAGGCTAGTTTTGAGCCCGGGGCCGCATGAAGCAAAACCCTACGGTTGGTTTGTGAAAATCTTACTTGTTGATGTTCTTACTGTTACAATTAATATTGGCAATTTAATTCTAAAAAGGTGGATTGTGTTGCATATAACTCACACACAGAAAACAATTAAAAAAAATTAACAAATTAGAAAGGATCATTTTGTTTTCATAAAACACCGTGGCCCTAGGGAATTTTTTTTTTCTTCTCTAGTGTGGCAGTCAGTGTGTTAATAAATGATGCTGTCTACCCCACTTCACGTCTTCCACCCACCCACCTATCTTTTTCCCTTCCTTCTGCCTTACCCCGTCCTTCAGAGCTGAGCCCAACCGGACTCTACTTTCCAGATCAACCTGAGAGTTCCTCGAACAGCCTCAGGTTCTCTTTCACTGAGACTCAGCATCCGGTCCTTCCACTCACGGGCCCGGGTGGTAGACTGTCCCGCGTCGTCCCTGAAATCCTGTCCGCTGCCGGGCACATCTGAGACTTGAGACCACGGCCCTTGGTCGTCCACACCGCCCCCCAGCACAGCGCATCCCAGCCCCACTCCCCATGCTCCCATTCGGCCAGGCGGCACTGGGGCACTTCCTTCCGCTCTGCTCTGAAACATCCGGCCTCCCGCTCCGACCTGGAGCATCGTGCTCAACTCCACCCTGGTGCCAGGGCCACCGCACTAGACTTTGTTCTTGAAGGCCCTCTCGAGGGAGGTTCAGTGTCTCACACCTGGGTCTCAGACTGGCCGTGGGGGCTTGAACCAGCAGGACAATTCTCCTGCTCGGCTACATGGCTCCCAAGATTCCCGCGCGCCCGCCTCTTCCCTGCCGCCCCTCACACTTTGCCTCCTAACTCCCCTCTCTGTCCACCGACCTCACACGCCTCCGGGCTGACAGCCCCCAGGATTATGACCGAGCCTGGCTTGCCCCTCAGATACCGGTTTCCACAAATGGCCACCCTTCCTGGGGGGTGAATGTGGTGTCGAGCTCTGCCTCCGGCCCTCTTTCCCCTGTGCTGCACTGTGACCTGTGAGCCGCCAGCCTCCTTTAACGTCGACCCAACGGAAGTGAGCAGCGGCGGCCAACACGCGCCGGGCACTGTCCTCGTTGACAGAGACGTGGGAGAGGCACGTCTCAGACATCAAGAAGTCTATAGCGCTCATCCCTCTAGAGTGAGGCCCACGTCCAGGGACACAACAAGTAAAACATCTCTCCTACTAGGCCACAACCTAGGTGACATATTTTTATAGATATGTATGTGTGTGTGTGTGTATATATATATATATATATGTAAATTAGCAAAGTCTTAACAACCTGGACTCCTAGCCAAGAGTTACCTCAAAAAATATTTTAGTTTTCTGTAGTTCTTTTGGCATTAAAGTTGGAACTATCACCTGTAGGACTGCCTGTATAATGGGACGTAGAAACAAAGGAGAAAGTATGTGTTCAGAGGCTAGATGAGAATGATCTTCCTAACACCAGCAAGATCATAGACCTGGATCATTAGTTCTCAGCAGAGGTGGTACCTCCCCCTAGAGGCCTTTTTGGAAATTTGTAGGGGGGCATGTTTTTGTTTTCCCAATTGTTGGGGATACTCCTAGTATTTGCTGGAGCAGAGATACCAGATGTCTGCAGTGCAGGGGAGAAGCACCCAGTGAAGAAGCTTTTAAGTACCTCAGCAAATAGTCAAATAAATGAGAAATTGTTTTTTATAATTATCTGAGCCTGAAATCAAATGCTACTTTATATACAAAGCATTTTTGAATGGTTTTAATATATGTTGAATCTTTGGGAAAGCAACTGACCAAAAATCAAAGGAAGGATATAGTTTGTTTTGTTGAGAATGTAAGTAGGAGTCACTTACCATTTAAAAAATCATGCCACCAATTGCCATGCCATTCACAGTCTTGGGTAGCCGGACAGCAAAGCTGCTTCACTCTGTGTCTGTAGATATCACAGAAAAACATGATAAAAGAGATCTGAGGTTTCCTTTAACGGGCTTAGTGTCAAATATTATATTAGTAGAGATACATAAAACACAGATCAAAGTGAGGTCCATTAATAACACCTGACTTGCAATAGTTCATAATTAAAAATTTTAATGCAAAATAAGAAATCTGTATAGTGAAAATTACACTTTAAAAGTATTTGCCAATTTTGAGGGCTGCCCACTATTGTTCAACCTTACTCTGATACTATCCCCAGAGGTGTACCACACAACTTTTCTACAACCTCTTGGACTACATAGTTCTTTTTCCCAACCTACCTTCTAGTCCTCATTATCTATCAAGAGATACAGTCTCCAAGGACTTTACCCTACTAGAGAATGAATATATTTCTTACAAGATAGGTGACAGAATTTTCTTTAATATTTTGTCATTATCCTAATCCATGTCATAACATTGGGAATTATTTTGGCATTATGCTTATGAACAGGGCCCAGCTAACTCAAACACTCAATAGAAAAAAACCAACAACAAATAATCTGATTGAAAATGGGCAAAAGATTTGAATAGACACTTCCAAAAAAAATACATACAAATGGCCCACAGGTATGTGAAAAGATGTTCAACATCACTAATCATTAGAGAAATGCAAATCAAAATCACAATTAGATATCACCTCATGCCATTTAGAATGACTATTATCGAAAAGACAAAAGATAACAAATGTTGGCGAGGATATGGACAAAAGGGAACCCTTACACCCTGTTTATGGGAATGTAAATTAGTACAGTCATTATGGAAAACAGTATGGAGTTTCCTCAAAAAATTAAAAATAGGCTAGGCGGCAGTGGCTCACGCCTGTAATCCTAGCACTCTGGGAGGCTGAGGCAGGTGGATCGTTCAAGGTCAGGAGTTCGAAACCAGCCTGAGCAAGAGTGAAACCCCGTCTCTTCTAAAAATAGAAAAAAATTAATTGGCCAACTAAAAATATATAGAAAAAATTAGCCAGGCATGGTGGCACATGCCTGTAGTCCCAGCTACTTGGGAGGCTGAGGCAGAAGGATCGCTTGAGCCCAGGAGTTTGAAGTTGCTGTGAGCTAGGCTGACGCCACGGCACTCTAGCCCGGGCAAAAGAGTGAGACTCTGTCTCAAAAAAAAAAAAAAAAAATAGAACTCCCATATGATCCAGAACTCCTGGGTATAAACCCAAAGGAAAGGAAATAAGTATAAGAGAGAGATATCTGCATCCCCAAGTTCATAATAGCCAAGATATGGAATCAAGTGTCCATCAGTGGATGAATGATAAAGAAAATGTGATATTATATACTATGGAATCCTATTCAACTGTGGAAAAGAATGAAATCCTGTCATTTGCAACAACATGGATGAATCGGAGGATATTATGTGAAGTAAATTGAGCCAGATAGAGAAAGACAAATATTGCATGGTCTCACTCATATGTGGAATCTAAAAAAGTTGATCTCATAGAAGTAGAGAGTAGAATAGTGGTTGTCCGAGGTTGGGAAGGAAAGAGGGTTAAGGGAGGGGGAGAGGATGATCAACTGATACTAAGTTACAGTTAGATAGGAAATAGTTCTGGTGTTCTTTTGCACAGTAGGGTGACTATAGTTAACAATAATGTATTGTATATTTCAAAATAGTTAGAAGACAGGATTCTGAATGTTCTCACCACAAAGAAATGATAAATGTTTGAAGTGATGGATTTGCTAATTACCCTGATTTAGATCATTACTCAATGTATACATGTACTGAAACATCACATTGTACTCCATAAATATGTACAATTATTATATGTCAATTAAAAATAAAACCTTAAAAACAGCTCATATTGGACTTATTTTTCTACACTTTGACTGTATTTCTTCTTGACATTTTCTTGTACTTAAATTAAAATTAGTTCCCTCTTTTATTATCATATACCAAAATGGATAGCCTGTTGTTACTTATCCTAACACTAGTTTTATTCTAGTTATCATTTTGTACTTTTCCTCCTAAAGTTTTCCAACTTCTAGAGCTGTTCTCCCTGCTCTCTAGCTCACCACCCCTTCCTCCATCTTTAGAGCCAACAATGTAGCATCTTGTTTCATTGCCTTTTCATTTGTTTCTAATCAAGTCTGCCTTTTATAAGGACACTTATGACTGCATTTAGAGCCCACCAGGGTAACCCAGGATCACCTCTTTATCTCGAGAACCTTAATCACATCTGCAAAATTTTTTTATGTCATACAAATTCCAGGAATCAAGACCTGGGTAATTGGGTCGGGGGAGGGGGGATGGGGCTCATGGGTGGGTTGTTATTCAATCGAACACAGTAATAAACCCGTGACTTAAATAGCAGGCTGTTGGTTTGAAGTTCTAGTTCCAAACTGGGAATAAGAGACAATAATACTAATAATTAAGACCACCAACTTTCTAAAATATGAATGCATGAGAGATGTAGATAAATGTAGCAAAAGGCAGCATTCTGATAACCTTAAGCCATCAGCATATATACTTCCCTACCTTGAAAACAGGAAAATAGGCACAGGTATCTCTTCCAGCATTCCTAAATTCAAAATAGAAATATTTGCAACCGCTTTGCAGTCATTGTTTGTAATCATTAAGAAAACTGGGAATGCAAGCATTTCTTCATCTTTTTTGTTCTCCACGATCAGGAATTTCAGTAAGATTACTATCTGAGTGGGCTCTCATGATCCACTATTATGTTTTCCTCAGTAATGGAGGGGGAGAAGGGAAGGATAGATAGGTCTGATTTCTCTTCCTCTTTCACTTGAATATTGTATGATGATTTTATTTATATGTCACTCAAATCCGATTTTAAAACACTTTTATTAAATGTGGATGATAGACTGCAGTTAAAACTCTTTGTTTTTCATTTCAGTCCCTGCTATATAAATCAAATTGATGACAGACCCAGTTAACTTAGTGGTTGGAAGAAAACAGATATTGTGGAATGTTCAAGAATTTCTTGCTTTTTGCAAACACTGCAGAAGAATGATTAAAAATAAACACTGATGGATAGTTGAGTTGGTAGGTTGGTCATATCAACCGTTCTTGATTCATACTCATGGATGCTGAAAAATTAGCTTTCCTCATTCTAGTTTTATAAATCTCCAGGGGAGAAAATGAAGTGGTTATTGCTATATGATGAAAACCATGATTGGGGGCCCCACTATCCAAACCCCTCCAGCTTAATAATGCTTAATAATATGTAAATGAGACTGATCTTACAGCAGAAGATTTCTAAACTCCCTCCAAACTTTAAGCTATATGATTCTATGTTTTTGTGTTTGTTACGAAACAAAACAAAAAAACAAGAGAAAAGAAACAAAGATGAGCACTCTGTGTGTGTGACTCTCCTGTGTGTGAGTCATTTGCTTTTGTTTTGGCTTGGGATGTCCACTCTTGGAGACAGATCCAGCCTCATGTGTCACATTCTTACCACATTGCTGCCTTTTTAGTTGAGGTTGTCATTGACAGAGTGACACACCTGGGAACCACCCTGGTTGCCAGAACCACAATTCTAAATACTGTCCTCACAGTCTCTAAATTGCAAGGGACCTCTAGTAAGGTGAGAAACCGTCTCTCCTGCAGGTTTGTTTGCTTTGCAGTTAGCAAAGGTAAGGGAAGTCCTTTGCGAACAGTTTCCTTGGAATTTAAATGTATAGCATTGCTGACAGAGTGCTGAAAATTAATCACATGGTGTACTTAGCATTTTCTTTCTCTAAGAGTCGTGGGCCAGGCGTGACCCCTCCCGTCTTCCCCCTTCCAGTGACTCTGACCATAAGCAGAAGATCCCTGCCACGACTCAGCCTCTGACCTGCCGTCCTCAGCGGCCACAGCCTCTGGCTCACAAGGGTTTCCTTACCGAGGGTTTGTTTGGAGGGCTCACTTCCAAAACAAAGATTAAAGTGCCTTTTCTCTTTAATAGTCTCACTGAACACTGTTGCTTGTTAATGTTCAGACACTAATAGCGCTGGAAAGAGTTG